AGGAGCATCCAGCGTCCCCAGAGGGCCAGGACTCCCAACACCGTCCCTTGCCTGGCTGCCCGTCCCCACCACAGCCCCAGGCTTGTGTGAGGCTGGCAAGGCAGCCCTAGCCCTTCCATACCTCGGCCATGTTACTGATGACAATTGCCATGATGATCCCATAGATGGCCACAGCCTCGCAGAAAATGATGCTGTGGGAGGGAAGCAAATGCTGAGCACAGAGCCCCAGGCTCTGCCCTCAACCCCAGCAGCCCATCCCAGCTTATGTCCCCATTCGGATCCCTCCCAGACCCTGCACCAGTGCTGCCATGCGCAGAAGCGCAGCCCAGCCTCCCCAAGAGGACACAGTTGTGCTGTGCCACCGAGCAATCTGTGCCACCCTGGGAGGAGCAGGCCCTTGGAGCCCCTCTCTTCTGCCAGCCCCACTTGGCCCTGGCTGGGAAGGGCTGTGCAAGGTCTGGCGGGACACCTCCTGCCTAGGGCACCAAGTGTGATCCTGGGTTGTTTGTTTTGCACACACTGGGCTCATTCATTGTGTGACACCACACACTCAGGAGCCTCCAAAGTAACACTTGGGCTTCTTTATGGCTCTCTGTTTCCAGGACAAACAGCAACAGCTCAGCAGGAAACAGTGGGACAGCAGCAGCCAGCTGGAGTTGGCACAGGAGTCTCTGCGCTGGGACCTGCATGAATCAGGCAGGGTGTGAGTGTAGCCCCAGATCTCTGCTTACCTGACCAGGTTCTTGGTTTTGATCCGGGGCGCTTTGACTCCACCACCAATGATGCTGGAGCCTGTGATATAAATCCCCCTGCAGCAGACAAGAGTGGTTGATGGAGGGTCTGACATGGCCTGAAGGGCTTGACAGGAAAAAAACACAAGTGCTTCCATCTGAGCAAAGTCGTGGGTCTGCAGCTGAGAAGACACAGTGGGCTCAACCTGCCCACCCCAGGGCACGGGTGGTCCCAGGCACTGCCACCTACACCAACAGGGTGGCTGGGGACACAAACACAACCCACAGCACAGCTCATCTGCTGGACCTTTGGGGATGAGGGGCACCCCTCGCCCAAGTACGTGCCACATGAAGGGGCCTGGCAGGAGCCCCGTGCCCAGGACCCGCTGCTGTGGGGACCCTCACAAGCCCCCTGGACACATGTGCTGGGCTGTGGGAAGCTGCAGGGGGGCCCAGCTCCTGAGGTGGGACAGGAACTTGCTGAAGCCCCAAGCCCAACTCACCAGGCAGCTCCCACCACGGAAAGGGAGATGGCCAGGCCAATGCCCAGGTTGCACCACATGAAAGGTGAGGTCTCTGTCAGAAACCTGGAGAGGGAGAAACACCCCGAGTTAGTGCACAGGCAGAACCTACCCTAGCCACGGTGCACAGCCCCACAACAGTGCCCCAAACCCTCACCACGCAGCTGGAGAGGAGTGGGGCTCTACCAGACACCGGGCTGTGAAAGCCTCTCTCCGCCTGCCCATGTCCCAGGCAGGGATCTGGGTAGGCCAAGACATTCCTCGTGACAGTCACCGTGCAGGAAAGCCTGGGATGAGCGAGCAGTGACCCCCTGTCTTCTGCTGAGGGGAGGGGGTGCTGGGACAGAGAAGGGAAAGGCGGTGACGGCGACACCGGGACCCTGCACGGGGCCACTCGCACACCTACGGGGCCAAGGTCTCGCTTCAGCCTACACATACCATGGACCCGGCTGCTGCGAGAGGCAGCTGGCAGTTCAAGAGCCCATTTGGGCTGCCATAAAGAAGCATTTGGACTGACACAGGATGGGCAAGGGAGCAGCCAGGCCACGGCAGAGCTAGTGCCAGGCTCCCCTGGGGCTGCCACTCCTTGCACCAATGGTCATGCTGGAGAGGCGACAGGGAAAAGCCGCCCTGGGGTCCTGAGGGAGACTCAGCCCTGCTACATTTCCAAGCAAAAGGCAGACTGCACTAACGTGCCAGTGGCATCTCCAAGATGGTTTCAGCTGGGGTGCAGCCTGCCCTGGACTACCAGGGATAAGGAAGCCCACGACAGCCCCAGAGGAGACAGAAGCATCCCATGAGGAGTGAGGAATTCCAACAGCGAGGAATGTGGGTCTTGCATGGAGAGGATGCCCCGCTCTGCTGCAGCTCTCCCGCCACCAGGATGCAGAGCGGCCGCTGCCCGGCGCCCCAAAGCAAACACTGCTCCCCCCGGCAAAGCCAGCACCGAGCGCCAGGGCCCCGCGCCCGGCAGSGAGGATGCCAGCGTTTAGGGAACTCACCAGGCTATATCGAAGCGGAAGCCCAGGTCAAATATTGTGTAGCAGATCCCTGGAAAACAAGAGTGACACAGGAACATGTAGCGTGACAGTCACATGCTGCCCCATCACCATCCGACCCGGGGGTGGTCACACTGCTCCCAAGGAGCCCGTGGAGACCAGGAGCTGCTGCCCCCATCCCTATCCCCGCTCCTTGCCCGCCCATGGGTGTTAAGGCTAGTTGTTCTGCTCAGTGTTTCCCCCGGGTTAGTCATTCCCAGGGARGCTGACACTGCTGGAGCCGCAACGGCAGCTCCGTCTGCCTTCCCAGGCCTGGGCGCTGCCAAATGCTGCCGGCTCAGCCAGGATCCTCACTGCCCACGGAGCCCCTCGGGACACAGTGTCCATCCAAAGCCACGGCAAGGGGGGCTGCGGCGGGTCGGGAGCGCGTGGCCCTGCTCAAGGCGGCTCCTGAGCAGGACACGGATGCTGCACTGGCAGCCGCACACGGCAGCCCCGGGCCACCGGGAGCCAACGGGGACGGGAGGGACCCAGCGCTCGCCAGGCTTGCGTGGGCGGCGGAACCAAAGGGGCCTGGAGCAGCCACTCGGCAAACACGCGGCCAGGACCGGCAGCGAAAGCTCCGCTCGGCCCTGGGTCCCTTGAAGGCCAGCACCCCGAGCGAGGCAGAGGGGCGCGCGCCAGAGCCGGCCGCACGCAGAGCTTGCGGGCTGCAGCTGCAGAGCTCCAGGGGCGTCTGCTCCTCGCGGGCTCCGACGGGCGGCTGGAAACGAGCCGCTGCCCGGGCCCTCCGGAGCAGGCAGGCCAGATAAACGGACGGCTCGACCCCGCTGCGTGCAGCCCAATAGCGCACACCCACCCGAGGCCAGGCAAAGACGGGAGATGTCTCAAACGCTTCAGAGCAGCAGAGGCTGCTGGTTCAGAGAGGCTGGGGGCTGAGGCTCCCCCAGCAGCCGCAGGTGGGAGGCGATGGGAGCCCCGGAGCCGCAGGGAAACCCATCCCACGGGAGCGCCCCGCGACGCAGGACGGCAGCTCCGGGGCCTGCGGGGACGCGAGGCGGCGGCCAGCGGAGGCGGCAGCACCAGCCCYCGCTCCCGCGAGAGGCCTCCCAGCCCGACACCCAAATGAGGAAGAGGGAGCCGCAGCCCGGCGACCTTCACGGCCGCTCTCCCGCGTGCCGCGCCTCGCCRGCTTGGTGCTTGTTTGTGTTTTGGGTTCACTGCGCAGCCTGCGGAGCAGGAACCGACCCCAACCAGCCTCGGCCACCCCACACCCRGCAGCAGGACGGGAGAGGCACACCCGGCCCAGCAGGATCTCTGGGGCTCCTGCTCTCTCTTCAGGAGCRCAGGGAGCCTCAGATTCAGGAAACGGGGTGCACGATGCTCTCCGTGGGCTCCAGCTCCGAGCCCTGCGGCCGGGAGGGCAGGGAGCAGCCAGGAGAGCGGGGCCCAGGAACGCAACAGGGCAGGAGCTCGGCGCCGGGCTCCGGTGGGCACCGTGTTGCGGGAGCCGCAGAGCGGCGCGGGGCCGCCCTGCTCCCGCCGCAGCACGGGGCGGTGACGCGCTCGGCCGCTTACTCAGCCCCTCCGCTCGCCCCAGCGCAGGAAGCCGGTGCCCCCAGCTTCTGCCTGCGCTCGCTTCCCTGCGAGGGGAAGTAACCAACGCGAGCAGCCGCTCCGGCAAGGCCCAGCGCACAGAAACGCTCCCGTTAACCCGTGGAGCTGCTAACCCCGCCTGCGTTAACCCCGCCGGCCGCACGGCTCCCGCCCGCCGCCGCGCGC